AAGCAAAATCTGGTCATGAGAAAGGAAACAGTTTCTTGTCAATCAAATAATCAACATTTTTATGCCTATTGTGTATGCATCAATGTACTAAACAGTATGTAGGATATGCATGGTTTTATCGCAACTGGATAGAAAAGATCAGAACATATTAAATAAGCAATATAAAAAATATAACATTAATATATGTTAAATTATGAAGGACTAATTATGAAACCATTTGAGGTGGTTTTAAGAAAAATAGATTTCTAAATCGACCCCAGAAATGTTGACATAAGATGCATCAGAGGCAAGGCCCAAGAATCTGCATTTAAGTCCCCCAGATAGTTATGATAGTCAATCAAGTTAGGCACCACCACCTTAGAAATCCAAAGAGGAAAATTTATTTTAATTGGTGCAGTGAGAGAGCACCTTCTTTGCGGAGCAGTGAAGCTGAACTAAACCTTGAGGATCTAGTAGAATGTAAGCAAAGTAGCAGAGAGAGCAGCAGAGGGGATCTATGTTCACCTGTCTGGAACAGGAATGTTATCTGGGACGAAGCGCTAAGGAATCTTTGAGAGGTAGAGAATGAGTGCCTAGGGCAGTGAGGGAAGGCTTCCCCCAAACTGAGTCTTAAAAGACTGAGCTGCCAGTCAGAGAATGAGGGAAAGGGGATTCCAGGCAGGGGAAACAACTTGTACAAAGTACAGAGGAATGGAAAGGCAAGGTATGTTAAGTGAATAGTAGAAGTTCCGTGTGACTAGTGAGAAGAGTCAAAATATGCCACTTTGGCATTTGGATTATTTTAAGTTGAAGGCAATTGAGACTCAACAGTTGCAGAAAGAAGTCTTCTCAGAGCTTCCGTTAACTGACTACAAACAGAAACTTCTGAGAAACTAGACTGGCCATTAACCCCACCCCAGGAGAGTTTTATGGCCATGAAGAAAGTTGGCACCAAGTTGAGTCTGCACAAACAAACCTTTCTAAAATAACCCTTATCTTCCATTAGTTCCCCCCATATACTTACCTTCCCACAATTTACCACCCCAAGAGCTCAGTCCCTTCTCTTTGTAATCACTTCTCCACAATTTATCACTCATTGTTAAAATGGTATAGTCTAACTACCTTTTTGGAGTTTTCACTTCTTTCCGGTGAAGTACCATAAACATTCAAAAAAAAAAAAAAGTAACATTAATAAAAATGTGTATGCCTTTTCTCCTGTTAATCTGTCTTTGTCAGTTTAATTTATAGGACCCATTCATTAACTGAGAGGGCAGAGGAAAAAATTTTTCTTCCCCTACACTAGAATAAGCAGAGGAGAAAGGAGAGGAGCCCTATGAGAGGTAGGGTAGGAGAAGTATCAACAGGATTAAGAAGTAAAGGAATAAAAAGAATTAGAAATCCCAAACTCACAGGAAGGCAAGTAAATTGCTGGGTGAATGTGTATTTCATATATTGTGTGAGTGATAGGATCCCAAAACCATAGAGAACTGGTAGATTCATGCCAAATCTATAAGGGGCAGCCTTCTCAACCCAAGCCAATTATTGCCTTGATGGACATTAGGAGCCCAGTGCTGCCGAGTTACCTGATTTACATTTTCAAGAAAACACAGCAATCTAGATTTTTAGATAATATCTTCATACTTTTAAATGACTCAAAATTCTTTAAAACATCAGTTAGTCCAAACAAAAAATGACTCTTGGGCTGATTTGGATACTAGTTTATCATCTCTGGGCTAGAGTCTAAAAAACTCTTTACTGCACCGAAATTAGACCAGGGTCTGTCTGGTTCACCATGTGCCTGATTTACATGTTGGCAGGACATGGCAACCAGGCTGAAGCATCACTGGGTAGACAACAGAAATCAGGTTTGGAGCTTTTATTCAGAAAGACCTAGAATGAATGAATAAATAAATAAATATATAAATATATAAATAAACAAGGCGCCTGGGTGGCTCAGTAGGTTAAGTGTCAGACTCTTGCTTTCAGCTCAGGTCATGATCTCGGGGTTGTGAGATCCAGCCCTGCGTTGGGCTCCATGCTCAGCATGGAGCCTGCTTAATATTCTCTCTCTCGGGGTGGAAAGGTGTCTCAGTTGGTTGGGCATCTCCCTTTTGCTCAATTCATGATCCCGGGGTCCTGGGACTGAGCCCCGCGTCTGGCTCCCTGCTCTGCAGGGAGTCTGCTTGTCCCTCTCCCTCTGCTCCCCCCAACTCATGCTCTCCCTCTCTCTCTCAAATAAACAGATAAAACCTTAAAAAAAAAAAAGAGGGGTGCCTGGGTGGCTCAGTCAGTTAAGCAGCTGCCTTCGAATCAGGTCATGATTCCTGCTCAGCAGGGAGTCTGCTTCTCCCTCTCCCTCTGCCCTGCTTCTCCCTCTCCCTCTGCCTGCCCTTCCCCCTGCTCGTGCTCTCTCATCTGACCTTCAGAACTGAAGGTTAATAACTTGTAAGCCACTAGGGCGCCTGGGTGGCTCAGATGGTTAAGCGTCTGCCTTCGGCTCAGGTCATGATCCCAGGGTCCTGGGATCGAGTCCCACATCGGGCTCCCTGCTCCTTGGGAGCCTGCTTCTCCCTCTGCCTCTCTCTCTCTCTCTGTCTCTCATGAATAAATAAATAAAATCTTAAAAAAAAAAAAAATAACTTGTAAGCCACTAAATTTGTGGCCACCTGTTACAGCAGCCACAGGAAACTAAAACAGACAGCAACCAGCCCTCCCCAGTGATAGGAACTAGAAGGGGTTTTAATTGGTATTTTACATTCTTTTTTGGGTAAGAGTCTAATCAAAGGTTATCAGGGTTAGTAAATAGTCCCATGCCTCCTCACAAGAGCACCCTCAACAAGTCATCATCTAGCCTCTAGCTGAACACCTTCTACACAGAAAACTCATCATCTCCCATAAATACCTGATGGACTTCAGATACCTTTAAGTATTAGAAAATTCATTTATTTTATTTTATTTTTAAGATTTTATTTATTTGGGACGCCTGGGTGGCTCAGTCGGTTAAGCAGCTGCCTTCGGCTCAGGTCATGATCCTGGGGTCCTGGGATCGAGTCCCACATCAGGCTCCCTGCTTCTCCCTCTGCCTGCCGCTCTCCCTGCTTGTGCTCTCTCTCTGACAAATAAATAAGTAGAATCTTAAAAAAAAAAAAATTTATTTGACAGAGAGACAGCCAGAGAGGGAACATAAGCAGGGGGAGTGGGAGAGGAAGAAGCAGGCTTCCCGCGGAGCAAGGAGCCCGATGCGGGGCTCAATCCCAGGACCCTGGGATCACGACCCGAGCCGAAGGCAGACGCCCAACGACTGAGCCACCCAGGCGCCCCTATAAAATTCATTCTTGTACTGATCTGGCGCCAAAACCAGGGTTCCTTAACTCCCAGATCAGTGTTCTTTTCATTCTATTAAATTCAGCTTGAATGAGGTCTTTAGATATCAAGTTTACAATATAAACAATTTCAAAATAAAATGCACAAGATTCCTAGAAGATCCTATAGAAATTATGACAATATTTACTTTTTAAAGCATTATTACATCAAAAAGTGAGTCAAGAATGATACCCTTTATTTTCCCCAACTGATTTTGCATTAAGCATTACTTTTTGTTAGCATCTTCAACAACCCTATAGGAACAAATAATTATTTCATTTTCATTATAATTAGGTAATTTGTGCAATATATACAGGGTTCAACAAACTCTACTAGCTACATCTTTCTATTTTTTCATATCCTACATATAAATCCTTATTTAACTAGTCAAATCAGAAGGAATATGGATTCAGATATGGGTGAGTCTCAAAATCCAGTTCCTTAATGGCCTTATAATTTTTGACAGATCGTTAAGCTACTGAGCCTTAGTGTCATTACCTGTAAAATGGGAGTAATACACAGGCTTATGGTTGCATAAAATAATATGGATCAATAATAACCATGTCAAACCCAGCATAGGTACATAATAAACATTAATTCCTTTCCCCACTGCAGATAATGCAAAATAAGGAACTAAAAAAGGAGTACTGTTAAGAATAGGGGCATTTAGCCATTAGACACAAAAATGTTTGAAAACTACAAAATAAAATTTACTGGCAGAGTGTGAAAATTCTTTAAATGCCTACACAATTCAGCATTATGCCAACTCATGGTTAAATGTAATTTTCTAAATGTGCCATCACTTTGAAACAATTTTCCTCATTTATCAATAATTTCTAAGTACATACCCAATCAATAACTGATAAGGAATCATAAGCCTTCGTGAGTTGAATGTCACAGGAGCCAAACGTCAAAAACAAAAAGTTTATTCGCTGTTTAAATTGTGTGGATTTAAATATATGCTATTCTATCTGATATGGAATGAATGCCCCCCTACCCTCGCCCAACTCTTTAAAATAGAGGACGCCTGGCCTGGGAATAAAATGTCTGGAAAGGGCTTAAGAAATCAGGGAGAGAAAGCAACAGGGGGAATTAAACAACTTTTCGAACACATCCGTGTCAACGGAAAGTTGACGCCTCTCTAATCCTGAAATAAAGCTACTGCAGCCACAAGGTAATCAGATGGCATGGTATGTGCCGTTCTCCGCACTGGCCAGTCCACGCCTGTCCTAAGGAATTAGACTGGAGTTTTCCCTTTCGGCACGACCCACAGCTCAGGCGAGAACACGCCAGCACGCTGCGGGGATCCACTCGGGTGACTCCTAGAGATCCGGAGACTCCGTTTTCACAGCCAACACCCACCAACTCTTGAGAACCCCCCCCTCCCCAAGCTCCTCCCGCGCCCGCCTCGCCCCAATATTCGCACATGCGTACACCCAATTAAGAGAGGTTAGACCGCTCCCCCTCGATGTGGGTCCCCACGCCCAGATGCCACGCAGCCAGTCCTCCTGCCCTTCTTCGGGCCGCCGGCTTCTCTATCCAGTAATACGCATGTGTAAGACTGTGCCACCCGGCAACCCTTTAGCCGGCAGGGGTGGGGCGGTAGGCGGGACCGAGTTTCTTGCGCACGCTCGGGACATGCGCAGTGCAGCGGCTGAGGCGCCAGCTGTCGATTTGGAAGTTCGGGGAGGGGGCAGCGCATGCGCGAGTGTACGCGTTGCCGGCGAAGAGGGGAGCCTGACGACTCGGAAATTTGAATACCACAGTAGCATGGAGTGTGACCTCATGGAGACTGACATCTTGGAGTCGTTGGAAGATCTAGGGTAAGACTGCCAGGGTACGGGTCTCCTAAACCTCACACTGCCGGCCCCCGGGAACACCTCCTCCGCCCCAGTCGGGGACACCTGCCTCTGCACGCCGCACCCGGTGGCTCCTGACTGTCGCCTCCTTATGGCTCCGGGACCCCAATGCCACGTCCACTGTCTGCCCTGCCGGGTCGGGGCCCTTCTAAAGCGACGACCCTAGGCCTTCCCTGTGCTCCCTGAAGCCGAGTTACCCGCAGCGTTTGTCAGTCATGCGTGTCATTGTCTGGGCTCTGGCTTCTCGCCACCCCCCTCCCCAAGCTTCTCTTCTTGCTCCCCATCCTCTTGCCCTACCCCCTCACTCAAGAGGTTGCCAAAGTTGATTCTCTTTTTTTCGTAGCTGTCCTCCAAACTTCCTGCTCCTCTCTTGAGCCCCTATTCCTACCCCACCCCGTTTCTCTCAAAAAATCTCCTTTGCCCAGTCATGTCTGCATGCACTCAGGCTTCCCTAAGCCACATGCCTGCATCCGTTCCGCTAGCCCGCTTACTTATGCGCCTCACCTGTCACCACCTTCATGGGAACCATTCACTGGCTGTTTCCCTTGACAGTGACACTCTACTTCGTCGAGTCACCATTAGCCCTTACCCTAGAGGCATCTTCAGCCACCAAGTCCCTACGTGTTTGTTGTGCATTTCCTCTCTTCTGACAATTACCCAACCATAATTTAGTACCTAGAAGCTGGAAATAGGGCTTCTTACCTCACTGGGTCACTGAGATTAGTGTACTCTTTAAAACTTGAGAATTTAGAACCTTTTGGTCTAAATGTGGTTCCAGAAACAAATTGTGTGATTAAATATTTGTCTACAGGTAAATGGTGTCCAAAATATATATAGATAGATTTAGCTAGCTAAATTTATAAAGTAACAAGTCCTTTATCAAAACCTTCCTCGAAGGTTTTTCTATGACATGGAAACCTTTGGGGGAACCTTTTTTAGGAAAGGACACCGTGAGGTTCTCAGAGTCTGCCCGTTTAAGTCATTGCTGTCCTGATAGAAATTCTTGGGAGAAGAAGTGGTAGTGCTTAAATCTTTTTTCTTAAAGTGAATTACCATTGTTCTTTTTTTTTTGGAACTTGCTCTGAATTTTCATGAATATTTCAGACTTTAGGGGACTTATTTCTTTGATTAGAGCATAGGTAAAAGTCACATTCAGCAAAATGGTCTCTTTGGTGGACATCTCAGACTAAATTGCTTGCTCACATATAAATCCATTCATTCAGTAAACATTTTCTTGAGGAACACTTGCCCCTTGGCAGTGTTGGGCTGATCATTTATGGGTCAAAGTGAGGTGGAAAAGAAGTTCACACTGTCAGAATATTCTGTGAGGAGAACTGAGGAAGGTCCCTTTACTTGGAAAGAATGAAGTCCTAAAAGCTTCCTAGAAGAAATGACACTTAGGGTTAGCATTGAAGGAGTAGTAAAATGAGAGGAGAAGGGAGCCTTATTTAAATGTGGTTGTGCTGCTTGGGTAGATGTTGCCTAGCAATTGGTGATGGATGCTATGTCTTCCCATTATTGTTCTTCTACCCTTTAAACTATATTTTTTTTCTTTTCTGGAGTACTAAAAAAAGTAATTTTTACTATAATAATTGTAAATCAAGTAAATATTCTAGATGAGTTGTAATGTAAACCTTCAGATTTTCTGAAAACTTTGCTATGAATTTTAAGCCTAACCAATTAGTTTGGTGGCACTCAATCATTAAAATTCATAATTAATTGACATGTACGTTTAAAGGATTCACTGAGAAATACTAAAATTTTAAATGATTTTTATCTTTAATGTGGCACACAGTAGGAATTCAATAACTACTTGTAGAATAAACTAACAAATTATGAATGTGTAACACAAGGAGAGATTTCTAGGCCTAGTCTCTTTATTGCAATGCCTAATTATATGTGGTTTTGAATCTAGATGCCAGACTATATATAATCTCACTTTTTGTGTAAGATTTTTTCCATTCCATTCAGTGTATAAAAACATAGGTGCATTTTAAAAGAATCAAGTATTGTCATTTCTCTAACATCTCTATACTTCCAAACATCAAATTATCTTAAGTATATTTAATGTTTCATCTTCCATAAGTTTTTATCAATATTTCAGTTAAAAGATAAAATAATCTTCTGGAGAATATATATTTTAAAATTACCCTGAAAATGACAGGATCTTTAGTTCTAGCTGTATTCTAGGTTGGGGTTCATTATTACTATTGTCTTTTATGAATGTTTACATATTTAATAATACTTTAAAATTATGCTTGAATCACTTTCAGAGGATTAGGATTCAGATGCACCAGTTCACCCAGACATCAACTTGCCAGCAATTATTAATCTTTTAAATTAATTCAGACATTTCTCTGGTACTAGTATGTCTTAATAGCCTTAACTGTCATCAGATATGGAAAAAGGAAATAAATGATTAGCTGGAAAGTTTTTGCTTTCAAAAAAAGTAAAAAAAAAAAAAAAAAACCTAATTGATTTCTAGAAAAGGTAACTTAAATCGTAAACTATAGTATAATCAGCTATCTCTTGTTAATGTGGTTTAAATATTCAGTTCAGTTAAAGTAAGAAAATCCTTGTACAGCAAGAGCTTTCAGTATAATGTATAAAGGTTGACATAATTTAGTAGTATATATGAGTCTCTTAAATATTTATATATATTTTGAAGGGTGGAAATGCAGTTATCATGTAACTTATTTTTCTAATAGCTCGTATTAGATTAAAATTTAAATTTTAGATTTAGTTTTCTATAAATTTTATTTACATCTGTAAGTTTGCAGTGTGGTCATCATAACTTATGAAACGATTGTTTATTCATACAAATAATACATAGTGTTTGTATAAAATATTAGGTGTGATTTTATATTCTTCTGAAGTATAATTTTTTACTCACCAGTTACAAGGGTCCATTGTTGGAAGATGGCGCTCTGTCTCAGGCAGTCTCTGCTGGAGCCAGTTCCCCCGAGTTTACCAAACTCTGTGCTTGGCTGGTGTCTGAATTAAGAGTGTTCTGTAAATTAGAGGAAAATGTGCAAGCAACTAACAGTAAGTAAACATTCAGTTTTTGGTACAAAATATAAAAGTAAAATTGGGGTATTGTCAGTTGAACATTATTAGTACTAAACTTGAAGTGTTAAGTTCTTTGTAAATAAAAAAAAAAAAAAAGATTTATAAAGAAACCCAAATACTTTTCTTTCCTCCATTATTTATAGAGATAAAGTGATTTTGGAAGTTGAGAAAACAGATTATAGTTGTGCAACTACTAAAACATTGTGGTAGTTGAAAAGACCTTATTACTCAAATACAGAAATGGGAGACAAGTATAGCATATATGAACTTTCCATTCTTTGTGAAACATGGCTTGTTAGTTCTTAAATCGATGGCTAGAACTGGAAATTGGGATGTTTTTCTTAGATTCCAGAAGTACATATAGCATGTAAAGGAAATGCATTATAATTCTGTTATGCATGGGGAGAAAGAGGACACTTAAGAAGTTAGGAATGTATCACTAGATCCATCACAACCAGATGCAGCTCCATCAGATTTATGGTGTTGAGAGCTGTTTTATATTTGCCAATTTTGTTATTGTATTAGCACTAGTTTGTTGACTCTGCAAAAGAGACAAAAGCTTGGAACCCAACACCCCACCATCTGGTTCCCTCCTACTATAGGTAAACCTACAATAGGAGACAAAGAAAAATGCTCTCTAGTTAACCTCCCCTCATGGAGAACTATACACATAATCCCTTTTTTTCCCCCCACACAGAATCGCGTATTGAAGAGCTCATTTTCTTGCATGTTCAGTATATTTAATGTGCGCATGTTAGTTGCAGCCAGTTCTAATTACTAAGGACACTGTCGTGTAACAGCAATGATAGCAGCAACTTACATTTATTAAACAATATGTTGTAAGCAGTTTCCATGTGTTAAGTCATTTAAAACCTGAGGTAGGTTTTATTACTCTTTTATACATTAAACAAGGAAGCACAGCTAGGTTACATGCACTGCCTGAGGTCACACAACTAGTACGTGATATAGCCAGAATTCAACCCCAGCAGTCAAGTTTGGGAACCAGTACTCTTTAACACTGCCTCTTGACCTAACATTTCAGAGATTGTAGGAACTTGTGAAAACACCTATAGTAGGTGATAACTGTTTATAACCTGGAACCCCTTTGTTCACATGAAAACATAGAAGCCAACATACAAAACAGTTAACAGTATACCTGTTTAGTTGAAATTAAGAGGGAGTACTTTTTGCACAACTCTCTCCTCATCCTCCCCAGCTGTTTCTAAAGGAGTTCTGTGGAATTTGAGTTCACAGAACAGTTTGCAAAACAATGATAATACAGCCTTCCCATTTTACAGATGAGAAAATGCACCCAGGGCGCCTGGGTGGCTCAGTCAGTTAAGTGCCTTTGGCTCAGGTCATGATCTCAGGGTCCTGGGATCGAGTCCCGCATCAGGCTTCCTGCTCAGCGGGGAGTCAGCTTCTCCATCTCCCTCCTGCTCGTGCTCGCTCTCTCTAGCTCTCCCTCTCTCTCGCGCGCGCAGATAAATAAATAAAATCTTAAAAAAAAAAAAAAGAAAGGAAGAAAGAAAATGGACCCAGGTCAAGTGACTCAGAGTTTGCCCTTGTGTGATAGAGAACCATCAGAAAAGTAAGGAAGAAGGAGCATTGTTTCTCCTTGGTTCACAAGATGAACTCGGTACTTAACATGTTTGGGAATATAGAACTACAAGTCATGTTTGCTAACTTCAAATTTTATCTCACTGGGAATATTAGGCACAAATGAAACTGGAGATTAGTACAGTAATTAAATGCTTCACTTTGTGGTTCACAGGGGGAGGAAATCATTGAGTGCAACAGGACTTGGGGAAGGTCTTATCAAGGAGCCGGTGGGCTTTGATGGAGAGGTGGGATTTGATAGATGAAGGGAAAGTAGAGGGTCTATCAGTCACAGGGAATAACTTAAATGAAGGCACAGAAGTGGAAATGACAGTGTTCTTGGGACAGTGGGGAGGCTGGCCTGGCACAAATAGAATATTTTTGAAGGTAAAATGTAACTACTACATACGTGTCATAGGTACTACTATAGTAATATGCAAGGGAAGGTAAAGCATAGAGGCTATGAAGAAATCTTTAAAGGCAGACAAATAATTAGATTAGATGGGGTAGAAATTAGGAAACGATTAAAGATTCTCAAAAAAGGGACTAACGTAATGAAAACTTATTAAGAAAATTGGCAGTGGTGTGAGAAAGGATGAATTAGAAGTCAAAGTAACTTGTACTAGGAAAATCCTATTAAAACTTTTTTTTTTATTTTATTTTAAAACTTTCTGTTTATATATAACTTTTATGCTAAAGGGAAAAACAGTCATTTTTATTAAAGTTATTTTAATTCTTAAAAGGCCCAAGTGAAGCTGAAGAATTCCAGCTTGAGGTGAGTGGGCTACTAGGGGAGATGAACTGTCCATATCTATCACTGACATCTGGTGATGTGACCAAGCGCCTTCTCGTTCAGAAGAACTGCCTCCTTTTGCTCAGTAAGTTCATGGCTACTAGAATGTAGCTATTACTTTTTTATTCATGTTTTCTTTGACTAATAAACTGGCTGTTGTACTATTTCATTACGGATTTAATTCAGAATGCTACTTAAAGAAAACTATTACATTTCCAACTTAGAAGCTAATGGTGGGCCTATGCACTGGTAGCAGCGTTTGTTTTGTAATTACTACTCTTTTATCATTTAACTTTGCTGGTACTATTGCACTTCACCTAATATGACCAAAGTTAGCGCCGAGTGTCCAAGTGTGTGATCATTAAACCTTAGCGTTCTAAACTGGAAGCACATTTTAAAATAGACTAGGAAAGTAGTGTGGGAATAATGAAGATTTTTAAATAAAATTAAAGTGTTTTATATTGTGGATATTTCTTTGTGGTTGGGTAATTGGGGATTTTGGTTTTGTTTGTAAATATATCAAATTACAGTATAAAATTTTCTGGAATAGTATTTGAATTGTTCCTGTGCTTATTGATCATTCTGGGAAATTGTTACAAAAATTCTTTCCTTCCATGTTTTTTATATACTAACTACATTCCTTTCTTCACCCTGAGAAACAGTAAGTAGACTCACAAATTTTATTGCCTTAAATGAATTCTCCTGTAAACACAACCAGTAGTCTTAACTCACAATTTTTGTAGCAGTCTGAGACACATTTAGATTAAGCTTTAGTTAACTGAATATTATAGTTCTTATTATGACACAGTTCAGAGGATTTTTAAAATTATCTTTACAACTGTACTGGTTTCTGAAAAATGAGCTCCAATTTTGAAGGTTCGTTTTTTTAAAAAAGGTATTCATCACCACTATACCCAGGCACTGAGTTATTCCAGAATCACTTACATAATTTCCCCTTTGTTGAATGATTGTGGGGGATGGGAGGTGGGCACATAAGATCAGATACTGCTTTAAATACTGATACTGCTGCATGTTCTTATGCATGCATTCAGTATCCTTCAAATTGTGTGATTTCTAGAACTGGCTCAGTGACAGTGTACTCACTCATTCTACCAAAACCTAATCTTTGGCACTCAGGATATATTATCTTACATAGGAAGATAAGAACTTCATGGAGAGCTTAGTAATGACCATAAATAATTCTTTCAAAGAACTAAGAGTTTGGCCTTTTTAGTGTTCCTACTTACAAAAACCACTTTATAAAATGCCTTTGACTCCTTCCTGTTACTTAAGACTGCACTGAATATTATTTTGGGATAAGGGTTACAATTTATAAACTTCATTTTAATATGCTATCACCTCAGAAGCTCTTCAGTAATATACAACTATTTGCTTCTCAACTAAATGACTAAAACCAACTAAAGGTTATGCTGCTCTTGGAATTCATGCACACATACACTATTCATTCCTCTTTATCTTTGCTTCTGCTGTTTCCCCTTTAAAATATTCCCCTCAGTTTCTATTCTCTCTGTCATGCTAGTATTTATGTGCTCATTCTCTATTCACTCTGTATAAATATTTCTCATCTTTCCAAGTATCAGTTGTCACCTCTTGATGCTATAATTTTACTTATTTCTCCAGCACCCTTTACCTTACTGATTTGAATCTTTTAATATGTTGTGTTCCAAGGGGGGAAATAACCAATCTCATTAGAATTGTTAGTAAAATAGAATAGTCTTTGAATGAGTGGCTAAAAGACTCTCCTGTGTCTGGTTAAGAAGTTTTGACTGTTCATTGCCTCTCTGGTTGTCAGATTATTTCCCTTAGGTAAAAAAAAAAAAACAACCTCAGATATCTGAGTTCCTAATAGATAAAGAATTATTCATCATGAATGCATATATTCTTTATTCCTAACTAGATTGTCAGTAGAGGTCATCTGTTTTGTTTTTTTATCTCCAGTGCCCTTCCTAGTACTTTGAACACATCAGTAACAGATAATGTTTTCTGATGGTAATTGTATTGGTGAACTAATTTTTGGATGCCTGAGTTAATGTTGTCCCAAATTTAGAGAACCGGTTTATTAAATCATATGATTTTCTAGAACAAGGGTTGGCAGACTTTTTCTTTAAAGGATGGGACAGTAAATATTTTCAGCTTTGTGAGTCAGAAGGTCTTTGTCACAACTGTTTAACCTCCGCTGTTGTAGCATGTACCAACCATAGAGATTATGGAAATGAGTGTGGTAATGTTCCAATAAAACCATATTTAGAAAAACAGTGGTTATTTTCATGACAGTGGAATTTTACTTTTTGATCTTTTAACTCCTACAGTTTGCTATATGGAACACATTAAGATTTCATCAAAGCCATTTAGAATGACCTTTCCAGAAACTTGCTGTATTTATTGTTCTAACATTACACCTTGGGTGTAGGAAATGAGATAGTCAAGCTGATCATTCTTTTAAACTTTTTATGAGACTTAAGAGCCCAGAAAATGTCTTTTTCCAAAACTATCTTTCTAATGTTGTCAGAAGGTTCTCACCCGAAATCCTGAGCTCCCAATGGTTATTAATCATCTTTCATAAAAATTTAAATGTCCTTGGGAAAGTTAAAGGAATAAGATTAAATATTTATACCTTCAATTACCTGAAGCAGATTGCAGCCCTCATTATGCCTGGCTGAAATCAACACATGAGGGGATGATATTGATACAAAAGAACTCTGTCAAGAAAAGATCAGAAAGTTTTATTGATGTTGTTTTTCAGGAGTGGGGAGGGGGGAGAGAATGAGGAAGGTAGAGGGAAAGTGAATACTGAGAACTTGGATGGAAGAGGGTTTTCTTTAAACAGAGAGGGTGGCATTAGGCTACTGGAAGCCATGAGAAAGGAGCTTTGGGCAGTTTCATGTCTTCCCCCTTTTGTAAGTTTTGACCACTTGAAAATGTTTCATGCCAGTTCTGAACAGACTGCCTAAGTATTGGAAGGTAAGAGAGCAAGAGAGTTATATCACTGGTGCATGTCAGTGGTGAGAAGTAAAATAATAATAATAACCGGTTCTAACTGTTGCCGAAGATTGGCCACCTTCCACCTTTTGTAAATTTGTTAACAGATGCCAGCCCCTGTTCTGGAGTTCCTGAATAGTAGGATATAAGAATCCAGATTTTGAGACGTGATCTACCTTGATACTTTCGTTTCAAAGAAGAATCACTTATTTATAAGTTACCCTTTAAACATATATTGATTAAATACCTGAATTACAGAACCAGTTTATATGTTATGTCATTTGCAGGTAAAAATGGTTTTTTTTTCTTGTTTTTATCCATTCTTGCAGCTTTAAAAGTTACGTATCATTAGGTCTATAGAGTTGTGACTCCAGACTTATGACTATTAACTGTAGCTGTATCTCATTTTGAAATCTTATTTTGTTTACTTCAGCATACCTCATCTCAGAACTAGAAGCTGCCAGAATGCTCTGTGTGAATACTCCTCCAAAAAAAGCTCAAGAAGGAGGCGGTAGTGAGGTCTTTCAAGAGTTGAAAGGCATATGTATTGCTCTAGGAATGTCCAAACCTCCAGCCAATATAACTATGTTCCAATTCTTCAGCGGGATTGAAAAAAAAGTAAGACCTTTAGTACCAGATTGTAGTGTATTAAAGGCATAGTCCTACATTTGTTTGAAATGAAGCAAGTTAATTTCTCTTAATGGGAACCTAATGTGCATATTATTAATTGTTACTAAATGAGTTTTGGGTTTTAAATTCTAGATACCTTAAAGAGAAGTTAGTATTTTACTTTTTTTTTTTAACTTGTCAGCATGTTTCTCTTTCAAAAAGGAAACTTTACACTTTGATTTATAAGCTGAAATAAGCTAGGTATAATGTAAAAAGAATGAAGACTTAAGTCCTTTTTAAAGCTTTATCGTTGAACTTTAACGCAATTAATTTTTAAGTTCTTGATCATTAGATGTTACCACCCTCCTTTCATTGACTGGACAGAAAAAGATGTAAATGTTTTTGATTTTTAATCCAGTCACTTTGAATCTTATGTTTCAATTGGCAAACTAGGTTTGTTGACTGCTAACATAATCTAGTATGTGAAAATAATTCAGAATTATTTTTATGCCACACATTTAACAGTTAAGAGGTTTTTTAAAATATAATTGACTAGGAGTAAGCCATTTTAATAAATTAATGAATATAAGAGAATGGTATTTGTTATAGCAGAGTTACTCTCTGTATGCATATCTGCTGGACTCCAAGAATTGGTACATTTGCATTGTGGGGTAGATGGACACCATGATGCACAAATTTGGCTGAACTCTACAGGGGAGCAGCACTGTATTCATAGTCCATATTTTTCTGTGTGTTCATTCATCCATTCAGCAAGTACACATTGAGTGCCTACTGTTGTCAGGCACTGTTCTAGGTACAGTGAAGGAATCATGCTTCCATAGGCACGTGAGGAGTGGGACAAGTGAGTGTCTTTATCGTGTGGGTCCTGTACATTTCAAAACATCCTCCACCTTTGCCTCTGTCAGGAATCTTCTTTTGATGGCAAGATATGATGGGAATTGGGAAGATGAGGAGGATATGTTGTATTTTAGATTTGTTTATTCATTCATTTATGTGTTTGTGTCAGTTAAAGGAGACATTAGCAAAAGTTCCACCTAACCATGTGGGAAAGCCTTTATTGAAGAAGCCAATGGGACCAGCCCACTGGGTGAGTAGCAGTCATCTTGAGTTGTCTTGGTAAAAAACCACTTATCTCATGATGTTGACAGTTTGTGCTGTTTAGGTTATGTTTTCCAATATGTAGTTTCCTAGGTGGACATTCTTAGAGTCCATTTTTGTGAATCTGAAGATTTATTTGGAATAATTTTACTTGTGTAAGATTAGAAACGCTTATCTCGTAATTTGTAAATATTTCACATAGCTGGTCAAAATAAATTGAAGTTCGGTATGTTTTTAACGGCCAAATGGGTTGCCTTCAAGCCAAAAATGTCATTGGGCTAAACTTCACACAGCAAATTATGGGAAAGCTAAATGAGAATTCTCTACTTAGTCTTTATTATGTTTCGAGACATTATTTAGCCTATTATTTCATGAACTTAAAATAACTTTTAGTAGTATATTAAGTAATATGCTTTGTGCTAAGTGCTGGGGAATCATTTATGAATGAAACAGACACAGTCTCTGCAGTTTTGGAACCAGGGGTCAAGCACATTTAAATTCTAACTGGTCTTTTAAATTTCTGTTTTAGGAAAAGATAGAAGCAATTAACCAAGCCATAGCCAATGAATATGAAGTTCGGAGAAAGCTGCTAATAAAACGTTTGGATGTCACTGTCCAGTCTTTTGGCTGGTCTGACAGAGCTAAGGTACATATAAAATATATATATATTTTTTTTTAAGATTTTATTTATTTATTTGAGAGATAGCACACAAGCTGGGAGGAGGGGCAAAGGGAGAGGGTGAAGCAGACTCCCCCTGAGCAGGGAGTCTGATGACCTGGGGCTCCATCCCAGGACCCTGAGATCATGACTTGAGCCAAAGACATCTGCTTAACCCACTGAGCCACCCAGGTGCCCCATATTAAATATTTTTTAAAAGAGCAGAATATTTATAGACATGAGACTTAAACATTCTTAGCACAGTTTAGATACAGTGGAGAGAGAAATGCATAGGAGACACATATAGGAATTTTTCTTTCATGAGTTGCTGAGTAGCAATTCTTTCAGCCTTTCAGCAATAATGAAAACATTTTTTTCAGCTTTTTAATATTTTTTTAACAAAACCATATGTTTTAGACCATACTGGGAATACTCACTCGTAGGAGAAACAGAGTATTTGAAAATCACTAAAAGACTAAATATCACTAAAATAATTTTTAAATTACTCATTTACTGTACTTTAAGCTAACAATTTCATTTGCTAATTAGAAATACTGGATTTAGCAAGACCAGACATTAGTAAGTATTTATAGAGAATTGAAGAATCTGGTAAGATTTTAGTTTTGCGTCAAATTAAATGAGATAATCCGGGTAAAGATCTTGGTCATTCAACAGATATTTATTAAATATCTATTATATGATCAGTGAGCAGAAAGTAATTGACACACGTGACTTCACATCCTTACGACTCTGAAATGGAACTAATCCTTGAACTTAATGGGGAGGTTGGTCCAGTTGTGTATTATATGTTCCCTTAATAGTACATTCATGTTTGAAAACAGATTTTTTTTTTTTGAATTTTAGTTGACTCCAAAAAAATTTTTATGTAGTTTTCCTAAATAATGTTATTTTCACCTAAAATCTTTAAACCTTGGCACAGCCCTATTTGGCTGCTAAATTGTTGGGGTAGGTATTTATTTACAGTATTTCAGTGTTGGAAAGAGGTGTTGGAGATCAGTCTTAACTCCTCTCATTTTGTAACTGGAAAAAAACAAACAAACAAATACGGAGACCCAGTAAATGGGAGGCTTTGTCTGAGATCTCACAGCTAGTCCGTATCAACACCAGCAGCAAATTGTTCTCTCCTATGGCTGTTGTGTAGGAAATGCCAGTCCTTTCCTAAGTTATCTTTGATAGAAACAATCATTCAAAAACAAGAAGCCTGCACCTCTTAGCTGGAAAACTATCTACCAACGAAGTCATGCCCCGACTGAGGCAGTACTGCGCGGTTCTGGTTTTGGCCCTGTCTTTACTGGATTGTACAGCTCGTACCTGACCCACTGTGTCTGAGCTTCCGTCTCTCTCCCCACTTCTGACATCTTTAAAATGCTATGTTTAATCTAGGGGTTATTTTAAGATTCTTTTGAACCGTAATATACAATGATTTTATGAACTATATAAATATATTGGAGACGATAAGGAAGGACTATACAAATTACACAAATCTATGTTTTCATCGAGTGGAATTTATATACTGATCATCTCATTTTGAAACTTGGTTTTAAATCACTTTATAGAAATAACTTTGCACAAAATGAACCAGTTTCACATAATGAAATTTATGTACTTATATCACTTTGAAATTGCATTTTGTATCCGTTATATTCGAAACATTAAGCTACCTTCTCAAAGGTTTTTGTCTCCATTCAACAAACATTGAGTACTTACTGTAGGCACAAGTGACCATAAGAAAGAAATACAAGACCTGTTCAGGAAACTTCCCTCCAGACAAGCTATGGAATGACAATCTCTTTATCCTTTTAATTATTCAAGTAATTTTTTTCTAATAAAATAGTCACTGATCATTCCATTGTCTTCACCACAGTAGCTATTTTCATTTTTAGTATTGTTTTCCTTGCTTTGTCTGTTTGCACAATTCTAATAAACATACCTTTTTACATCCTTTTTTTCCCATATAATTTAAACATTTACAATATCAATATTTGAGTACCTGCATATAACTGACAGACTTACCAAATATTTTTTTTCTTTGTACTATTTTACTGTGTATTATAGCTGTTGTTTCCAAAATTTAGTAGATAGGAGATTGTTATTTCTCACAATTTAGGTTAATTTGCCTTTTTTTAAAAGATTTTTTTATTTATTTGACAGAGAGAGAGAGACAGTGAGAGAGAGACAGTGAGAGAGGGAACAGAAGCAGGGGGAGTGGGAGAGGGAGAATCAGGCTCCCCGCTGCGGGGCTTGATCTCAGGACTCTGGGATCATGACCTGAGCTGAAGGCAGCCACTTAACCGACTGAGCCACCCAGGCACCCCGGTTAATTTGCATTTGTTGATTCCTGTCTGGAAAACATTTCTTATATTTGTTCGAACTTTATTTTCTCGTGTGTGAAATTTCTGTTTATGTCTCTTGCGGTCTTGTGTTTCACACACATTGAAGTGACGTGCCAAGGTGTCCCAGATTCCCAGTGGTTTGTCTCTCAGGAGCTGACAGTCTTAATCATTAACTTAGACTTCTACTAAATAGTTAAAGTAGACTTTTCTTTCTTACTTATTACTTATAATAGAGGAAAGTATTTCACAGGGGGGATCACTTCAGAAGAAATGTATCCTGTTAATTAGAACAAATTAACTGTAGCTAACATTTTTTATCTCATTGTAAGCAAACATGATGGGAAAATTCAAAAGCAAAATTATTGAAATGAGTTTACATCCTTATATTTAGATAGATAGAATGAATATGTTTGAGACCAATGTCAGGGGGGACCTTTTTACTCCCACAGTCCTAAAGGAAGCTCCTCTACCCTGTGTGTCCCCTTTCCAACATTATTCCTTGCTGTATCAGCAAGTCTGACAGCTGTGTCTTAGGGTAGTTCTTGACTAGGTAGGAACAATGGTGAGTATAACTAACTTTTTTCTTCCCATCTTAAGCCTAGTAACTATTATTATCAGACATTTTGGAAGTCTTTAACTTATTTAATATCAGTGTTTCTGGGGCGCCTGGGTGGCTTAGTCGGTTAAGCGTCCGCCTTCGGCTTGGGTCGTAATCCCGGGGTCCTGGGATCGAGCCCCGCATCGGGCTCCCTGCTCAGCGGGGAGTCTGCTTCTCTCTCTCTCTCCCTCTGTGTGTATGCCCGCTCTCTCTCTAGCTCTTACTCTCTCTCAAAAAAAAAAAAAAAAAAAGTCAGTGTTTCTATGTCATTTTGAAAATTGACTTTTGTCTTTGAACACTTTGCTTCGACAGAGTCAGACAGAAAAATTAGCAAAGGTTTATCAGCCGAAACGCTCAGTTTTATCTCCTAAAAGTACTATTTCTGTTGCCCACCTCCTGGCTGCAAGACAAGACTTGTCAAAGATTTTAAGGACAAGCAGTGGCTCTATAAGAGAAAAGACTGCCTGTGCCATCAATAAGGTGACTGAAGTACCTTTTATTTTCTTTCAAATATACATTTATTTCTATTAATAAAATACAGTAGTTTAAAATATCTTTCTTATCCCATAGGTGTTGATGGGCAGGGTGCCTGACAGAGGAGGTAGACCCAATGAAATTGAACCTCCACCTCCAGAGATGCCACCATGGCAGAAAAGGCAAGATGGCCCCCAGCAGCAAGCAGGAGGCCGAGGAGGAGGGAGAGGTGGTTATGAACATTCCTCATATGGAGGACGAGGAGGTCATGAACAAGGAGGAGGGAGAGGTGGACGTGGTGGCTACGACCATGGTAGCCGAGGGGGAGGAAGAGGAAATAAGCATCAAGGAGGCTGGACAGATGGAGGGAGTGGAGGAGGAGGTGGCTACCAAGATGGTAGTTACCGAGATTCGGGTTTCCAGCCGGGTGGCTATCATGGTGGTGGCCACAGTGGTAGCTATCAAGGCGGTGGTTATGGCGGCTTCCAAACATCTACATATACCGGAAGTGGATACCAGGGTGGTGGATACCAGCAGGACAATAGATACCAAGATGGTGGGCACCATAATGATCGAGGCAGTGGTCGTGGAGGGAGAGGTGGTCGCGGAGGCCGAGGTGGTCGTGGAGGCCAGGGAGGAGGTTGGGGAGGAAGGGGGAGCCAGAATTACCACCAAGGGGGACAATTTGAACAGCACTTCCAGCATGGAGGTTATCAGTATAATCATTCTGGATTTGGACAGGGAAGACATTATACTAGTTGAGGCTACAGAACCTTACACTTTGCTAGAGCTCAAGTAATAGAAACTTAGTTTCAGAATCCTGAGTCCAGCATCAATTTTGAATTAATGTGAGACCACAGGTGGCAGGCAGATTCCTGCTTGGCATAAGTATTTGTAGGTCTTCATTCAATTCTGTTGGGTTTGTGTGTTTTTTTTTTTTTTAAAGGACTTACATGACAAAGTTTGTTTGAGAAACACGTACATCTCTCCTTTAAATAAAGAACTTTTTAAAAGGTAATTAAAATTGCCTTTAATTGACCAGTAGACTAATTCCACAGTCAGAACATGCATACTTTTTTGGGAAGAAATTACTTGAATAAGTAGTTTTCAAAAAGCGGTTTTGGAAATGAGGATTCTCCTAGATTTTTTTAGATTTTCAACTAGGAAATCTTCCTCATATTAACAGTCCATTTGTATGTGTTTTCCTTAAAGTATTCTAATGCCTATTTTCCAAGCACAGTTCTGCCCTGATTGGCTTTTTATTCAGAGAGATTATGCCACATTTGCTTCATGATAGACTTTTAGGTCAGTTCCTATTAAATGAGCTCTTCCACAGATAGCACATTCAGTAGCCTTATCCTTTTGATGGAATACTGTACCATATGCTCAACTCTGAAAACCTTGAACACGGCCAAAATCCGTAAACATTATAAAAGCAAACTAAGTTGTGAACCTATAGTACATGTAGGCATTTATATAGTATAGCAATTCAGACTGACCTGCATCCATTCAAAACAAGTTCCTCCTTAAACCTTATTTTTACTTGAAATCTGTTAGAAGAAACAGCAAACAAATTTGTTTTATGCACGAGTTAATACCACTGGCTCAGCAAATACAAGTTAGTTTGCTTTGGGCAGGAGACTTTTTTTGTAATGGAAGAAATGCACTACCAAGTAAGAGGACAGATTTTTGCTTAGTGCAGGAGGCCCTTTATTATTGCTGCAGAAAACAAAAGCCTGGCTGAGTTGATGTTTTACATTCTCCTTTACTGAAATCAACATGAAGCTTCTTGCTGGGTTTTTGTATACGTAAACATTGTCAAGCTGTGAAAGAAAATGGCTGGAGGTGTGCTTTGTGTGAAAGGTGAGCAATAAAGTATCTATGTTCTCTCTCTGGTTTGAGTTTTATTTTAGCTACTTTTAAAAACTGAATTAATGTGGATACTTGTTTCAAGCTTATGAGCTAAGGCATCTGTTCCCCCAAAAATTCTTGAGTGTTTCTTTAAAACATAATTTGTGATGAAAGATAACCCTTACCCTAAAACCATAAATAAATTGAAAAAAACCCTATTTCCAAATTTACCTTTTTCTGTAACATTATAGCTACAAAACTTCACTACTCACTTCTGGCCACTGGGTGTAGCTGTTGTTACACAATGTATTAGGCAAAGCTAAATTAATGGCCCTAATCTTTCAGGGCTTTTTTGGTTTGTTTTATTTTGTTTCTCCATTCTTCCTAAGAGTGAGGGACATTTCTCTTCAAAGGAAGTGAAATGAAAATATGTTTGTAAAAACAGAAATAGTATTTCCTTTTCCTACTAATTTGGGCCTTTTAGAGTAAAGAATCAACTCATGTCTTACCATAGAATAGCAATAATCTATTTGCTATTGAGATAAGCACATTCTTTTGGTACCTAAAAACCATTTTGAAAGCCTACCTTGATTATTTTGTTAATTTTACCTGTATACTAGATTTTTTTGGCTAGGCTTTACCATTCTAAACTTGAAGACAATTTAAAATACTTTTATTTATCATTACAGATTTTAAGGTTTGTCTTGAAAGTTGTATTAGCCTCTTTATGCTGTTAAATATGTTTAGTATGTATAGGAGTTTCCTATTAGAGATAAAATTGTCAAGGTTTCGTATCTTAGAATGTATTCACATTTACCTTAGCATTTGCTTTAATCTGTTTTGTAACCAAAGACTCCACAGTATATCTAATGAATATGTTTCATTCTTTTGACAAATATAATTGATTTATTTTTATGGTTAATAGATTGCTTTTCAAATTTGAGCATATAAGCAAGCAAATTATACATTTCTCCATGATGGCTCTAAAATTTGCATCTTCATTTTCTGCTTCAAACTAGAATTTTTTTCCCCGCATTATAAACCCCAAAAAGAATTGTCTTTTAGTTTCTCCTGTTTTGACACAAATTAAGTTCTCGGATAGGATTTCAGACCACCAGTTAGTTTGTTATTATATCAAAATAAAGTTCTTAGATTTTGTGTAGAGCGTGTCTGTTGATTTTACACACATTCTTAACTTGTAGTAAGTAAGAACTTACTGGGAATGTGGGAATTTCTTGGAGAAACAAGAGAACAAAATTTTTAGGAGGGAATTTTTGATATATGGAATCTTAAAATGCTATTACTTAGATTGAGAAAGACCGTACCTTTTATTAGTGCTTTGCTTCTTCCGTACACCAGGAAGTCAACATTCTCTATGAAAATTATCAAAGATATGCCACTATCATTTTCATTTCTTGCTCTAGATCCAAACTGAGCTAGTGTCCAACTATGCTGAACATAGAAGAGTTAAATAAATTCTTGTTAAGGGAAAGCATTTGAAATCATTTCTATGTATACTTAACCTGTTTTTCCCACTGCCCAAATCACTTATATTCTTATACTTAGATATTTTAGGTAGTGCCCTACCTACATTTCTGGTAGGTAAAATATTAAATATAAAGTATTATTTACCTATATTATATCCATTTGAAGATAGGTTTAGAATGTATGCATATCATTTAACTCTTAAGTACTTTGAATGGTATTTGATTCATTTTATTTTAATAGGGCCATTGGGTTTACTTAAAAAATACATCACAGGGTTACCTAATGTTATATATAAAATGTCTTTTTCCCCCTATTGTTTCTCTCATTCCTCACTAACATAATTATAATATTAGAAATGCTCTTTTTGTTCAGTGCTCCATTTCCACATTTGGATACATTAATGTATTCCCACAATTCAAACCATTGATGAAAGAGGTATGCATGTTAGTGTTTGAACTCACTTACCTCGGGTACTTTTAGTCACCTGTAAAAGTATGTTGGTAAAGACATTGCATAAACACAGCTGTTGGGTTGAGAACTTCCCCAATATATCCTTTACTTCCCACTAAATGTGAATGAAGAAGCCTGGGGTGGAACTAGAATAAAACATTTTTTTAACATGTTCCCTAGGAATTTGAGGGAAAGCCTTTAAAAAAATACAAAGGTAAGTTAGAAAGTCTTGCCTTGGAAAATGTGCAGTGGCAGACCCGGAAACAGATAATTACAGCATAAAATAATAAAAAATGAAAGTTATGCCAGGGACCTAGGATAGCAGTGTTCAGTATTACTCATATGAGTCGGAAATTGGCAGAAGTTGGAAAGGTGGTAGAGGCTGGTTAATAGAGGGCACTACGCATCTTCCTGAGTAACTTGGACCTGGTCTATGTACCTCAGTATACCAGGGTAGGCAACATGGTCAGATTTGGATTCTATATAAATCATTGGCTAGAGGAGAGAATAAATTTAAGGAGGAGCAAAGACTGGAATCAGAAGCTTAAGAGCTTAAACTAATGTATACAATAATAGGGATGGGGGATGATTTCAATCTGAAACTTTGGAAAATGTCTGGAGACAGATTTGGGAATGATCAGCATCCAGTGATTTTGCATTGGAATATTCAGTTAGAATAATGATTCTGTATTGAATCACCCAAGAGGGGGGAAAGAGCCTCAGACCAATGATAGGATCTTGGGGAATCACTTAAGGGGTGATGGAGCAGGGTCACAGAAGCAAGAGGAAAACAAGAGCAGCATGGGAATCTAGGTTTAGTAGTAAGGGCAGTAGTCTGTTACACTTCATCAAGAGCATTGTGTTACCCCAGTTTCCACACATAGAATGGAGCCCAGGATGGTTGAATAGACTGCCCACATCCACGTAGCTAGTAAGCAGGGAGCTGAAATCAAACCTAGGCCATGTGGCTTCAGAGCTCAGTAAGCAACAATTCCAGATGCTACAGAGATTGAGCAAAATATTCATTACATCTTGTGACCTTTTCAATAGATTTTACAGAATACATAACTAAAGCCAGCTTACTGGAGTTTAAGGAAGGACAGACATGAAAGTAAGTTTAGACTTTCCAGAAGCTTTACTGGAGAAGGACGGAGTAAAATAATAATGTAAAACTTAATGGGATGAGGAGGAGCAAGATGGTAGAGGAGTAGGAGACCTAAATTTTGTCTGGTCCCAGGAATTCAACTAGATAGG